TACCATACACAAACACACCAACCCACGAAGGGGGGGGGGGGGGGGGGGGTATGTAAGCCTTCCAATGGATTCGGATATCAGCCCTAAGGAAGAAACGGAGAAGACTGCTTTTGTCCGAGGAGTCCGCACCCGGAAGAATGGAGGGCCAGCTTGGAGGAACGCGTGGCCACCGAGATGGAGATAAAGATCAAAAGCGTGTCCAGAAAGGTAACAAAGGGGGCATCTCCGCCGAACGTGCAAGTCGGTTCCCCAGATGCCGAAAACAGCGCCAGCAAGTTTCGGGTCCCCGGGGACAGATACGACTTGGCCTGACCGGTACCCTCTAGATAAAAGTCTGAAGTTTCGGTCCTGCAGGGTACGGGATGTAGAGACCTCATGCGTCAGAATGAAGGACTTGGAGATGTCATCGGCAGAAGAAGTACAGTGTAGGTCCCGGGCCCATATATTAAGGAGAATCAGGTGTTTTATAAACCAAAAGGCCATAGGAGGGTCGATATGGGGTGGGAGGAGCCATCCTTGCCAGAGCAGAGCGAATCAATTATCCCCGACCTCTCTATAATGGGACAAAGCCCACTTGGTCGAGGTGAAATCAGGGTCCCGATGTGACGTTTGAGGCATTCAGCAAAAATCTTTTGTTCGAGATTAATGATGGAAATTGGTCGATAGCTGGCGCACGGAGAGGTGTCTTCGTTCTCTTTCGGAATGACCGAGACGAGCTCTTCTTGGGACTCGCTGGGGGAAAATGGAGTCAGTGCACTATATATCTGTCAAATGAACACACTCTAAGAAGGTGACCGTTGTCCCTCCTGTTCAAAATGCAGCCTACAAAAAGTGATTAAACACTATGGAGTCACTGAAGCATTTTCCGCACTCAGGGCAAAAGTACGGCTTCTCCCGTGTGAGCTTTTTGATGCTAGAAAAGTTTGGATTTCTGTGGACAACATTTCCCGCACACAGGGCAGGACGATGGCTTTTCTACTATGTGGGATCTGCGATATGTAAAAAGTTCCGATTTCTGTGTAAAACGTTTTCTGCACTTGGGGCAAGACTATGACTTCTCACCCGTGTGTAATATCTCATGTCTGAAAAGCCTGCTGTTTTCTGAAAAACATTTCCCACACTTAGGACAGGAATAAGGCTTCTCGCCTCTGCGTGCTCTCTGATGTACAGCAAGAGTGTTCTTCTGTGAAGAGAAGGATGGATACTACCTCCCACCTGTGTGAGATTTCAGATGTCTGGAAAGGTTGGAGCTCTGTGAACAACATTTCCCACACACAGGACAGGCATACAACTTCACGCAACCCGTGTGCAATCTCTGATGTTTGTTAAAACTGGACTTCTGTGAAAAAAATTTCCCGCACTCTTCGCAGGAATACGGCTTCTCCCCGCTGTGCCATCTTTGATGAATAAGAAGGTCTGATTTCCGTGGATAACTTTTCCCACACTCAAGGCAGGAATAGGGCTTCTCACCGGTGTGTAATTTCTGATGTCTGGAAAGATGGGCCTTCTGTAAAAAACTGCTCCCACACTCTTCACAGGCATAAGGCCTCTCCCCTGTGTGAGATCTCTGATGTATCGCAAGACTGTGCTTCTGTGAAAAACGTTTTCCGCACTCAGAGCAGGAGAAAAGCTTCTCCCCTGTGTGCGTTCTCTGATGGACAGAAAGATTGGACTTCTGTGAAAAACTTTTTCCACACTCTGAGCAGGAATAAAACTTCTCCCCTGTGTGTGAACAGTGGTGTACAGAAAGACTCAATTCAGAGTTAAACCTTTCCCCACACTCAGGACAGGAAAATGTCTTCTCCCCCTGAATTCCGGCACCATCCCTCACAGTACGAGGCCGCTCAGAGTCAAGACAGGAATATGGCTTCTCGCCTGTGTGTAATCTCTGATGCCTGGAAAGATGGGCCTTCTGTAAAAAACATTTCCCGCACTCAGGACAGGAAAAAGGCCTCTCCCCTGTGTGAGACCTCTGATGGAGGGAAAGGCTGTACTTGTGCGCAAAACTTTTTCCACACTCTGAACAGGAATGATTCTTCTTCCCTTTCCGAGATCTCCGATGTTCAGATTGAAAACTTTTCCCACACTCAGGAGCGGAAAATGTCTCCTGCCCCTGAATTCCGGCACCATCCCCCACAGGACGAGGTCGCTCAGAGTCAGAGGGATTCCATGGTCTCTCCGCACTGCGACGTCCACCATCCATAGCTGAGCTCATTGTCTCTTCTCCCGCACAATCTGCTGTGATGTCCTCATCTTCCATCTTACAACCTGGAGATAAAGTCAGACGATCCTTTGAGGGTTCCTCCATGGCGTGTCCTGGAAACATAGAAACACATGATGGAGAGATATGAGAGGGTTAGATGACTTCACTCAACATTCCATCTGGATCAGGAGGTCTGAGGGAGCGGATGTTCTATGAGGAGGTCCCAACCAGCCGGGACTCCTCCCCTCTTCAGTCAAAGGGCCTCCTCCTAGATCACTTCTACATTGACACAGCCTTGTCAGAAGAGGCGGAGCCATCAGGGACTGGGAGGAGCATGCTCTCCACCCAACCACGAGCGTAGGCACTGGGTCATGTGACCTCTGATAAACAAGAGCTTCAAAGTTCAGACCTGTAGACCCTTCACCATAGAACAAGTGACCACAGACCGAGGCTTCTGGTGATGAGCAGCACTGGAGGGAGCTTGCAGTTAATCTTCTGGAACAGGAACCAACCTAATCTGTGTTCTCATATCTGAGCTACTGGAACTAGGAGTGATACCCAACCTCACACTGCCAGCTGAACCTCCAGGACGGGTATCAGTACAGGGAGGTGACCATAACCAACCCATTATTGGCTGACATCACTCAGCTCCGCCCCACTCTGGACCAATCAGTGTGCAGGAACAGAGCAGAGATAACAAAGTAATATATTATGACCCACCTGTGCTGATCTCTATAGTAGCGTCCTCCACTATGAACGTCCTCATCGTTCCATCCTCAGCTATGAATGTCCTCATCATCCCGTCCTCCTCTATAGACGTCCTCATCATCCCGGCCTCCTCCGTATATCGCTGATCATCCCTCACATACGTCTCTTCTACTTCACCCTCAACTTTCATCTTCATCAGATCTTCACCCTAAACCAACAGAACGGCAGAAAGTCTCATCTGTGACATAGAAGTATTTATGATGTGACATCACATAGAAGATCTCATCTTGTAGAGTCCACACGTCATCTCCACATGTCAGAGCGTTCCATCACTTTATGTTCCCGCCCCTCAACTCCACCCACCTGATCATGGAGGGGGATGGTGAGACCTTCCTGGGTGGGATCCCGGGAATACAGGGGGCGGGGACATCTCTCTGGTGGGTTCCTGTTGTTCGAGGGCTCCCTCATATCCTTGTGTCCTTCAGAAAGCTCCTCCATCACCCCGTACTCCTCGTCCTCCTCTTTATGTTCTTCTTTAACAACAATGTTATAATCTTCGAGGTTTTTACGCTGAAAATGTAAGAATATCATTGTAACAAAGACGCTTCTGCAAAAAACACAGATCGAGATTGTCCATCATCTACCTGATCCTGGCGGGGGAGGGTGAGATCTTCCTGGGTGGAGTCCCGGGAATACAGAGGGCGGGGACATCTCTCTGGCGGCTCCTTCATATCCATGTGTCCTTCAGAAAGCTCCTCCATCACTCCGTACTCCTCATCCTCCTCTTTAATCTCTTCTTTAACAATATTATTGTACTCGAGGCTTCCACTCTGATGAGATAATGAAACATTAATTGTACTAACATGCGTGTGTATAAATCATACCGATCCGTGATTGTTCATCATCTACCTGATCATTGCGTGCGTAGTTGTGATCTTTCTGTGTGGAGTCCCGGGAGTACAGAGGACGGAGACATCTCTCTGGTGGGTTTCTGTTATTAGCCGGCTCCATCATCATCTCCTTGTGTCCTTCAGTTTCATCTACCTGGTCATGGTGGGGGACGGTGAGATCTTCCTGGGTGGAGTCCTGGGAATACAGGGGGCGGGGACATCGCTCATGGTGGGGGATGGTGAGATCTTCCTGGGTGGAGTCCTGGGAATACAGGGGGCGGGGACATCTCTCTGGTGGGTTCCTCTTACTGGATCCATCTGTAGGAGACACACACACTGACTGAATACATTGTTTCTATGTGTGTATCAGATGATGGGGATGTAGGCGGAGCCTCCGTACTGCTCTCTCCTCTTACCCGGTGATGTGAGGGGCGGGGCATTCTCCATCACCACGTCCTTGTAGAGATCCCGGTGTCCTTCTAGATACTCCCACTCCTCCATGGAGAGATAGACAGAGACATCCTGACACCTTATAGGAACCTGACACACACAATGATACCGTCACCACCCAGACACGCCCCTTGTCTGTTCCTGGATCATGTCCCAGAATCCCCGGCACCGCTCGCCTCTCCCGTCACCACCCAGACACGCCCCTTGTCTGTTCCTGGATCATGTCCCAGAATTCCCGGCACCGCTCACCTCTCCCGTCAGCAGCTCCATCATCTTCTTGGTGGCTTTTATAATCTTCTCATTGAAGTTTTTCTCCAGTGTCGCGGAATGAGGCGGATAAACAGTGATGGTCACATGGTCACCAGACTTCAAGTGAGGAAATCTCTGTAATCAAACAACAACAGTGATATTCCCAAAATCCTCCTCACCTCTCCGGTCAGGTCTGTGTATTATAGAAAGAGATAAGAGTGATGTCATGTGACCTCCCAGAATCCTCCTCACCTTTTTGGTCAACAAGCAAATGATCTCCAGGGTGAGGTTTAGAATCTTCTCGGTCATGTGACTCCGGTCCTCCTCCATCATTGGTGCAGTCCTCTATGAAAGTCTCCCTGTAGACAGATAACATTGATATCAGAGAATGATCCGGATTGTGTTGGTTGTACAATAATAGGAGGAGGAGATGTGAGGTCAGTGTGATGTCATAGGATGGGGTGACTCTGGATGGAGGACATTGGGAGGAGGAGATGTGAGGTCAGTGTGATGTCATAGGATGGGGTGACTCTGGATGGAGGACATTGGGGGGAGGAGATGGGAGGGGTTCTGTATGAGGCTCCTGGGTGCGTCCCACCTCTCCTACACTGTAAAGTGAACTTTGACCCACAATAGAAATCTCCTCGTCCTCCGGAGACTTTGCTGATCACATTTTAGGATGAAGATCTGAGACTGGGATCATTATGGAGTAGATAACATCTGGAAATGTATATTGACCTCCTCAGGGTCACTTACGGGGGCCGGAACATTTCCTTCATTGCGGAGATTTGTATCGGGTTTTGAGGTTTCATTATTATTATTATACAGGATTTATATAGCGCCAACAGTTTGCGCAGCGCTTTACAATATAAGGAAGACATTACAATCACAATACAATTCAAGACGGTAAGGAGGGCCCCGCCCCTGAGGGCTTACAATCTAAAAGGGGAGGGGCCAGTGATACATGAGGAGGTAGATGTGTGGGGATGAATGGTTGAGCGGTCAGGTTGAGGTGGGATCGGCTTCTCTGAAGAGATGAGTCTTTAGGGAACGCCTAAAGGCAGTCAGTGTTGGAGATAGATGAACAGGTTGGGGTAGAGAGTTCCAGAGGATGGGAGAGACTCTAGTGAAGTCCTGGAGGCGAGTATGGGAGGAGTTGACGAGGGAGCTGGAAAGCAGGAGGTCTTGGGAAGAGCGGAGGGCGCGGTTAGGGTGATGCTTTGAGACAAGGTTGGAGATATAGCCGGGGGCGGAGTTGTGGAGCTTTGTAAGTGACTGTTAATATTTTGAATTTTATCCTCTGGGCGAGTGGAAGCCAGTGGAGGGATCAGCAGAGGGAGGCAGGGAATGGAAGCCAGTGGATTGATTGGCAGAGAAGGGCGAGGGATGGAAGCCAGCGTAGGGATTGGCAGAGAAGGGCGGGGGATGGAAGCCAGCGTAGGGATTGGCAGAG